TTAGTGTGTTCAGCATAAAATACATCAAGTCAGAGATTTCATGAAAGAATATATTAATTTGAAATGAAAATCAGTGTGAATTCATCTGAATAAATGACTTTAAGTTGATATTTCATGTCATCCATCAGTTAATAAGACCACTGAGGTTTCAACTATCAGTACTTTTTCAACCACACCATCATATTTCAGCAAAACAGAACCACATCCACAACCCACCAGCAACACAGATCAGCACACACCAACAGGTCAGTTCATCTGTCTGTCACTCTATATGACTCTTAGTTATTGAATATTTGAATATCGTGCTTCTAGATGTACTTGAATACATTTATTAGATGATTGCTTTTAGATTAAACGTGTCCAGTGTCTTACTGTACATACAGTGTCTGAGATCTACATCTGTGTTGAAGACTGTAGGTTCAGTGCCCTTGCTGTTATAATCTGCTTTAATTTGCTTTGGATAAGAAAGTGTCTTCAATAGAAATTATAAATTAAAAATTTTCATATTCATAAAAAGTATAGGAGGGGTTTGTTTGTGTACATGTAGTGCTTAGTTTGTATGTGTTCATGTTCTTACCGCATGAGCAGCACACTCACATTTCACTGGTGTTTTTCTCTTGGTGTCATTGACTCATCAAAAAGATTGCGAAGCAACAAGAACAGGAAATACTACAGTTTAACTCGATCAGCCAAACACTAGTAAGCACATAGACTACACTACCCATGATGCACCGGTGCCCTCACTGATTACATAGAACATGGGCGTCGAACCATTGTATGTAGGACAAGACCACTTCTTAAGACCAATGATACTGGACCCACTCACTTTCACCGTCTCTAATGGAGCACATATGTTTGTTCACTTTTCAGAGCGCCATCAGTCAAATCCATTCCACTTGATGAATGCCCTAATAAATTAAACTCCATTCTGCGTTTTAGCTACAGCCTTGACTTCCACACTGCTGCTTCCTCAAATCCATTCCGCTTGGCTCATTCAGAGTCCATATAAATTAAACTCCATTCCGTGTTTTCACTGCTGCAAGCTAAACAAAGCATCTCTGCAAGCTGGGTCTGGCTGTGTGCTGTGCTCACATACTGTCAGTAAACAAGCTGCTATCTAACTGAATGTTCATCATCTGTTCGCCTGTTGCCTTTAAAGGCATCATGTAGTCTTTGTTGCAGCATTGAATTACAGTTATACTATGTTGTTATAATGCTGATAGTTATGACGTTTTTCCAAACAACTTACTAGACTTTTGTTGCTGTGTTAATTTTTGGGAAACCTTGCCAGGTATGTGGCACCTGTTTTATGCTATAAAAGCAATTGTTTAATTAAAAGGCACCAGAATACAGGGAATGGCATCTACTCTTTCTGGGGGAGGACCCACCCACATTTTTATTTTTTTTGGCCTCTGACAGCCATGAAATAGAATAAGATATTCTGGAGAAAAGCGATTGGTTTGAACATTTGTAGAGACACATTTGAACTCTTGTGGCTCACAATGAACATGATAAAAGTCCACACATCAGATTTCATGCGGTTACCCTGATTTCACATCAGCCGCAGACAGAAGCGCTTTCCTCTGAAGAGTCGAGGTTTACCGTTGCGGTTTCACGTTGGTTACACGATATAATGATACATTTCCAATATTATATAATACAGCTCTAGCTTCTGTCGCCGGCGGTCTGGGTTCGGTTCTGCTGGTTCTGGTTCTGTGTTCTGGAATGTTCCTCATCCTGAAAAAGAGGAAAAGGAAATCTGGGACAGGTAACCATTTATGTGTGATTACAAAGTACTTTTTTACTATTTGATTTGATTTGACTTTGTCTTTTCTCTCTTTTCATGCTCCGTTCAGCTTTATTTCAGCAAAATGTGCCGCACAACACGGAGGTGGGTGATCAAATCTTTACCTGTAGAGGTTCAGAAATGATTGTTCATTGATGAACATTCAGTATTATATGCATACATTTTTGATGCATATGTTGTTTTTCAGAGTATCCACATGGATGAGATTGCAAAAAGTGACCCTGGACCCTGTGATCTAATCGCTGCAGCATCTTCGTCCAATCAGACGCCTGCATCACATCTCAACACCCGCCCACAAGTCTCTACTGTTTATGCCACAGTAACCAATCAGAAGCCTGATTCAAATCCCCGTCACACCCACTCGACCAATCAGGTGACGGATACAGACTGTGATTATTATGCCAATATTAAGTCTCCTGAACCAACAACAGACAGCAGGACAGAAGTGATCTACGCAACAGCGACACATCCGCAAAACATCACACCACATCCTCAAAATGTCACGGCAAACGAGAGTATGATATATTCAGTAATAAAACATGAATAAAAAGGACTGTCAAAATGTGTTCAAGTAAAAAAAAAAGTTTTTGACATTTCTGTACATAACAGAGTGTAACTAAAGTGTATAATGTATAAAGTGAATAGGGTAAACTGTAATGTTACTAAACATGGAAAAGTTAAATAAATGCAAAAATGAAATAATTATGTGAACTTCGATTTTCTTTGTAATTAGTTCACCTTGTCTATAGTTAAATGAAGCCAATATAAAGGTAAATTACAGTCCTCTTTAGCCTGTTTAGCTTAGTTCCTCTCCTCTAGCTGATGTGACGTGAGTCAAGGTTGCCAGATCTGACTCAAAATGTGTAACTTTCATCCCTAAAATAGATATTTTTCAGTCACGGCTACGCATTACACACAATTTCTAACTAGAGAACTACTGTATAGTTTAGTATAATCATAAAAATGACCTGATTTCATAAAGGAGCTTCCTACCACTTTTCCCTTCCTCACAAACATCCCCTTAACCCGTCTCATCATCTAGCACAGTTTTATCACGGGTAGAATATTAAATGTGTAAAATATTTCAATAGCATAATTTCTGTCAGATATAATTCATGTATTATGTAAAAACTCACACCAACATTTTAAAAGTAGCCCAGCTCTGTGTAATAACTGGGGACTTGGCAACCCTGCTCTGACTGCATTGCACTGTCCACAGGT